ATAGTCGGATGGTTACTTGTTACGAACAACGTGCGCGCGATATGAATGCAAAAGAAGTGTATGTCTACGTATGGAATGTTTTATTTTCGAGAGTCTATTTTTGCGGATCACGTATCTGCGCCTCGAATTTTTAACGAATGTGTGACGTTCCTGTTTACGTTTACATTAGCACTTTTATTTGGTTTCGGCAGAAACATAATACATCATTCTAATCATTCGCTAAAAGATATAATTCATGATATTTTGTAAAAAATAGATACAGTCAAACCTCGATAACTCGAACCTCTATAACTCGAAAATTATAAATTACACACCTCTATAAGACGAAAATTTTGTTCATTCCCTTCCGCTCCGCCGAAAGGAAGACAGAACTTCGATAAGTCGAAGCCTCTACAACTCGAAGATTTTAGCTCTTCCCTTCGAGATTCGAGTTATCGAGGTTCGACTGTACTTCGAAAAATAAAATCTCCGTTGCACGTGATATTATAGTTCACTTTGTTTTAAACAAATATACCTTTTAAAATACTATATATATTTTATGAATTTTATCAAAATCTCAACTAAAAAAATTTTTATTTAACTTGCTCTCGTTGCAAATTTAATTACCAACCTAATCTCATATCATAATTTAAAAAATAAATTTGTAGTTTTGTGTGTTGAAAAAAAATATTTCAAAAATTGCGCGCTACATTTTCTATTTATTAATAGTCTCTCTTTGTAACAATGTAACAACTTTTTCATAACAATATCTCGACACAGGTTTGATAGTATTTTTTTGAAAGCTTGTTAAATCCTGAGATAATACGATCTTTAAAATGCACGCGCATAAGTATTTTGTCCACATGTTGTTTTTTTTTTTTTTAAATTCATTCACGTCTCGTTTGAATGACAATAAAGGTGCATCGCTGATGCAAAATAAATTCGTGTTTCCGCATGGAAATATTTTATGTTACTCTGAAAATAATTTCAGGATGCTAAGTGATAATTTATCTGTTCGTAAAATCGCTGAATAATTCTGATAAATTCACCATTAATGCATTTTATTGTTTTCTCGAATAACACATTGGAGTCGTTAAACAGCGTTTATGACATTCTTGTTCATTACGCGTAAAGAAATGGATTTCAAGTTGGTTTTAAGTCACATGCAAGTCGAGAGTATGTCACATGTGACACAGCACGCTTTTGACCGGCTTTTACTTTCACGCACGAGTATGCATGTAAATTATTCACGTGTTTATTAATTTACTTGTTTCTTCTTTCCGCATACCTGGATCGTATATGATGTATGTTATATATACTATACATAAGTAGATTCGACGAAACGATTAAAATTTAATTATTGATTGCACATTTTTATTCTTTGAATCTTTAATACGATCTTTCTGTCATTGATTTACTTTGCCCGCATAATTATTTTGTTGCGACAATTTCTGTTTGTCGATTTAAATAAAAAAATTTGAAAAAGTAGAAAAAGAGATATTTGCTTGAAGGCATTATGGCTATAACATTAATAAAATAACTTTAATTTTGAAATACTGTCACATAATTTACATATATTCTTTTGCAGCACAAATTTGTGTTTTAATATATACTCGATATTAAAAAGTAACACAAGTGTGCCTGCGTATGCGTGCGAGATCATGAATTTTTAATTTAGAGAAATTTCCATCGTTTAATGGACCTATTTGTTAGACCGGTTAACATGAAAACTAGTTTGACGTGAAACCAGAATTCTAAATATAAGAATTAAGTCGTAATATAATTCACATTAAAGCAATTTTTACATAGACGTACATGTAAGTACATGTACACATATATGTATGTATCCGCACAAATGTGTATCTTCAAACAAAATGTAAGATTGGAAAGAGATGAGACAGTACTTTCTTTTTATAAAATTCTTTATATCATGTTGCATCTTTGGGTTTTTTTTATCAAAGCTATGTCCGTTTCCGAGTGCGTTGTCAAAAGAGTTGTTTATCAACAGAAAACACGTTTGGAGATTTGTCATCTTGTCGAGTCTCGCGACGAATGTCATTTTGTGTAGACGCGTCTACTATTCCAACGACCGCTAATTTTGCATTATTTTTTTCGTTTTGTATTGTCTTTTCGTATTCCTGTTATAATACAAGTGTTGTTAATTCCGATGCGTGTAAATATCGGTGCGAAAACGAAACTAGGAAATCACTTGATATTGACTCGCAGGTGTAACAGTATATTGTCTTTACTCCTCAGTACTGCAGAAGGATATAATTGACATATGTTTGTCATAAGTTGACAGGTTTACAATTCTTTATATTGGATTGCAACTATAGTAATACGCTAAAAATATAAAATTTCAGTATCTTATACGCCATATTTAAACTATTTTTTAATATGCAGCACTATTATTTCTTTAAATACACACACACACACTCTCTCTTTCTCTCTCTCTTTTTCTGTCTTATTTATTTATCTTAAAAAAATATATTAATAAAATACATTAATAAAAATATATATTTATATAATTCTACAAATTTCTATATTATTCTTTGTTAGAAAAAATCTAGTTTTTAAGATTTAGTGTTTTACCTTTTAATATAATTAAGATTTATAAGATTCGGCTGAGATTATCATCGATGCGTGTGTTCCAACGAGTGAGGAAGTTTGAAACGTGATTTGTTTGTCAAATGATTCATTAAGCAGATATTCATAAACAACAGAGTGTCCATTTTTCCACTTTGATACATCTGTCGATTGCAATTAAATTTAAAAAAAAAAAAAAAACATAAAAACAAATAATGTAAAACGTGACGATACACGAATACAAAATGTCACGAACCAAATTGATTTTTAATTATTCATAAGCACGTACTTATTAGTCTATCTTATCATTATCAGTGCAATCTTTAGATCATCGATTTTCAATATCATAATATGAAATAAGATAAAATTATCTCATCTGTTAAACAGTTTTTAGTGCACTAATAGAAAGCATTTTCTCCTAAAAAATAATTTTATTGTTTTGGGTGTAGTTGTACAATAATTCAATTAAAATAAACTTTGAAAACATACCTATATTTCGTAGTATATATATATTTCATATTTAAAAGTATAATATAAAAAAAAAATTTAAAAATATAATTTATAATATAAAAAGGTATAATATAAAATAAATGTACAATATAAAAATATAATATGTATATTTCATATTTAAAAGTATAATATAAAATCTGTAATATTATATACCTATAAATTTTTTCAGATAATGACCACATAGTTTTGTCAACATTATTTTTAGCAATTTTGTCAACATTATTTTTTTGACATTTATTAAGTTTTTGTTTAATATATTTTTATGCTTTGTTTTAAAACTATGTAATTATAAAAAATTAAAGTTTTGTTAAAAATACATTTTTTGAGCCTCTTTTTGTGCCTATCAACTTGTGATTTTACACAAGATTTGCTTATCTGTAAGGTTGCTTATCTTTTTTTTTTATCTTCCTTCGCCGATTAATTCTGAGACCAATAATATATGCTCGAATAGAGAAAAAAATCATATTGTCTTCGATATATTCCACAAAATTATATTTTGTATTTAATTAACTGTTCAATTACGTTCTTCTGTTTTCTCGGGAAGATATTATTATACAACACCGCAGCGTATTTAACCGATTACACGAGCATGTACATTTGTGCGAAAATTGTTCCTGGGAAACTTGCAATATTGCAATCCAGAGAAAGTTGGTATTTTGCACTCTCAACTAAGCGGATCAATTGGACCGAAATGAATCACGGTTGCACTTTTGGTCTAGATCATTTTTTAAATTTATTTTCGCGAAATCATTTATAACCGGTTTGTTCGCTCCGTAGCTATGCACATCTCAGAACTCTTTTGAACCCTGTTCCAGCTTCAGAACCGAGATCTCTTTCACATGCATGATACTGCTCAGTTTTTTTTTTTCTACGGTTACGTGTAATCGCTTTTTTTGCGATATATATAAGCCGGAACATATTGCCTCGCAAAAAAGCACGCGCGCGCATACCTTTCTCCGAAAATCTTCCGCACTATCTTCAGATTAACGGCAAACGCACGTTTTTTATTCGACGACTTCTTTCTTTTGTAATTGCACTTTTACATTTTACAAACGTTTATGCTTGCTTGATATTGAAAATAAAGCATATAAGGTATAAACTCGTGTGAAAACTTATGGATTATAAAAAAGAAGATTTAGATAACAATCAATTCATTATAATTAAGTACAATTATTTTATTAGTTTAGCCCAATCTTTCGATTCTTTTGCGTATTTCTTTTATTTTATGTGTGCTGAATATATCTATCTGATTTTTATTGTTGCAAAAAATTAGAATGATGATGATTAGAGAAAGGATTAGTGTTTCTGATCTTTTTTAATAGTTTAAAACAAACTTAGATATATTTCTTTTACTATTAATAAAAAATTTTGTAAAGGATTGAGACGTAAGAACGTATATAGCGTTGCATCTAAATTATTTTCAAGTGCTTTACTCTCACACAAAAGAAATTATTGCAAAACTTTGCTATTTATGTATCTATAATCACTCGAGTGTATTTTATCACACAAGAATAAATATATCTTTTTTTCAGAGATGTGTTACACTGTGTTAAAAAAAATAACTTTTACGCACAAAGTTTTATAATAAAGTTTTTTTTTTTTTTAATATAAAAAACAACTTTTTAAAATTATAAAAAGTCGTATATAAATTGTTTCCGAATTAACATTCAGGAACGAATCCCACGCATTACGGAAGTTCTAACGTGAAGGCCATCGACTTACTAATAACTTTACTTTTACTTGTTTCGAATATGAAATATTTCATTCATTCATCAAGTGCGTAAAAAAATATATTCTAGTCTTGTATCTCTAAATCGCAATTATTTGAGCAATTTAAAATTTTGTAAATAACACTTTGTTTTAAAAGCTATATGTTTTTATACTTCTCTTTCCTAAAAGTGTGAAATCAATTTTCAATTACTTACTTTTCAACCATTTCCGTCTGCCATCATGGGAATAAATTGGTAGCGTTTTATTGAAAACTCTATTCACCACTATCGAGGACTTTCTTCGTACATTGTCCGAAAACATTGTCACCTCATCTTGGTCGACGTGTCTTTCAGAATTAGCGTTCGCGTTGGTCGAATAATTTCGCCGGCCCGTCAACGTATTCCAGATTAGCATAAAGTCCCTCATTTTTTTCTCGTTTTTTTTTTCTCGTTACTCGATGATAAATAAAATCACAAAAGTGTCTGGCTTCACTGTGTTGACGATCTGTCGATTTTCAATAGTAACGGCAAGCTATGACTGATGATAAAGTTTCTAGTATTGATTCCGGACAAAAGTGTCCGTTGACACTTTTGTGAAATTAGATTAGCCGACGTCGAGCGGTTCTCGTCGGTTTTTATATGGAGATCACTACACACTCGGGATTTCCCGGACCCGGATTTTTGACACTTCACTTTCTCTCGCTCCGATCGATGTAATCAACCCAGAGATTTCTCGATGATTCTTCACGAATCTTTCGAATCAATTACTAGTTTTGTCAAGCTCTTCCAAAGAGAAATCCGAGAAATTTTGAGGAAACAACAATGTGTCTACAACAATCTCAATATAATTTATCGTAGTTTTATTTTATAATCTCTTTCACACGGGAGCTTATCAGCTTGTGACGCATCACTCGAGACACTGATTGTTTAAAGTCATCCGGCTTTTGTGTCCTGTCTCAGCCACTTGATTCGTATATGTTACCTTCGCTTTCCGTTCCTGCTACGTGCGGTATACGTCTCGATGCAAGAGTCTCGCGGATTTAAAAAATATATTGCTCCCACCAGGAGGCTCGTTGTCCGTGACGAGGATCAACGAGCACGTGGAGCGCCGGCCAATCGGATCACGAGTTTGTTGTCCCACCTACTTGAAGTGCGAGAAACACCTATGGTTATCTGTTGTTTCGCCGTGGTGTTCAGCAAATTTCCAGTTTCCTCGGTCGGGGCGAACTCTCAAGGTCCACGAACGCTATTCAGGATGGGGAATACCGACTACCCTTTGTGGAGCAATAAACAATCGGCGCAGACAGTTTTATTTTATGTCTCGCTCGAGTCGCACGTTTAATTTGAAATAATATTTTCCGTATTTACAAATGTAAAAATATCGTAATTATTGTAGAAACAAAACGACATAGGTTGATCTCGTATAGTCGCGTTTTTACGGTAAAAAGAATTTGCAGAAGATAAAAAGTATAACAATTCCTATATATGAACGTAATCACATTCCACGAAGGATTGTGTAGATATTACCAAATTTCAATTGAATGACGAGCGAGTTTAATTTGAAATATGATTTCCCTTTTTATTTTCTCTCGAAATATTCACAATTAGCCATTATATCATTCATAGATTTGTCTCCAAAAAAAACAATGTATTTAAGCAGATTATACTGCACATACCAGCGTGTGTTTTTTTATTATATAATTAATGAAATAATTATTAGGATACTTTGTAAATAATATCATATTAAAGTAAGTGTATAAAAACTTTATAAGGAGGAAAATTCCGTTCTTATTAGAGAGTTTTTTATTGATATCTGTTATTATTAAAGCTTCGTGACATATTAGAGAGCTACTATAGTTAAGTGGCAGGAAGCAAATAGTTATTAAAACCAAGTCACGATATGATTGTTGAATAATGCTGAACATTGGATATACGTACAGGGGGATATTTGTTAGCAAAAAGATGTTTCTGCTTCAGATCATCCGAATGCCATGACCGCGATACAATTTTAACACGCGAGGTTTAATATTTATCGATTAGAGCAACGCGAAGGACAAGAAAATTCTAGGTACTTGCATTTTTGCAACCTTTTCACGCAGGTGGCCATAATTTTTTGATAACTTCTATCATTTAATTTAGATCAATTTAATACCGGTCTGAGCGAGTATTACAAATGCGTATTATGTTTATGGTTCCGCATACGTGCGTATTATCTACTGCTGCGGCAAAGAAGTTTCGAAGGTGAGGAAAAACACAATAAACACAACAATTTAGATTCACGCGCGAATGATTAAATTAATTATGCTTAAAGCGGTTGAAGAAGTAAACTTGAATATCGATTATAAATAGTAGTATCGCGTATCCTGCTGCGCGTCAGTGTAAAATATTTTCCAATCGCAATCAGATCATAAGACACATTTTTTTCATACAGATCTTATTCTTGTAAGTCCGTAGAACGTCATATCATTGAACGCATACAATTGCTACGTTTTTTCATGATTTTTTCTGTAATATTCCAGGTAACGCATACACACATCGATAGAATTCTCATCGTGTGACTAATACTGCTTGTGTTTCCAATTCAGAAGGTTCGAGAACGATACCCACAAACTGCATTACATTATATTCTCCTTTTACTTATAAAGTCGCTTATCCACATCGTCATACTTTTTTAGAACTTGAGACAGGATTTTTCCATCAAATGATAAAGGTGTTGAGTCATCACACATCGTCTTTAAAACCTTATAAATATTAAATAATTTAAACAGGGTTCCTAAACAAGTTTGTAAAAAATTACCGTTGTATTTGTTTTTTATTACATCTTTTGGAACGACTTAAAATTTTTTCTAGTTTTGAGCGTAGAATAAAAATAATCTTACTATACTAACTTCATGAATATAAATTTCTTTTATCTTCTTAAACTGAAAAAAAAAAAATTACGTTTACTTTCGAACAAAATAATCATACACGACAAAACTGATGATACGATGACATACAAATAAAATAATCAATCAAGTAATTTTTATTTTCAAATAAATCGTGATTTATTTTATGTAATACAAAACGACGTCAAAACCTCAACAATATTATTTAAATTAATTGAGAGAGAGATGACAATATTCATATACACACATACACGCGCGCGCGTATGTTAAAATATATTAAAAATGTATGTTAAAATATATTATTTAAACAGCAATTAAACATTTTCTGGCATCCTAATTCGTGAGATTGCACATCTATTTGTGACGCATATTGTGCGTCCTGTGCTACTCGATCACGTCTCGAGGCATTCTGACTCATATGGAAAACCATCACATTTATCTTTTTTACACAAACGCTAAAAAAATATTGATCAGGACACATACTACTGAGCGTTGGCATTACATTAGACAATGATTAAGTATAAATATATATATAATCTTACACTACAAATACTCTCAGAAAGATTAAGTTACTTATTTAAAAGATTTGATATATATATATATATATATATATACTCGCGTGTGATATATATATATATATCACACGCGAGTGCGTAAATATATATATATATTTACACGCACTCGCAAACAGCTTCGAGAGCAAGGAAAATGTAAATTTGTAAACGTGTGACTTTCATGTAGCGGTCACTGCAGTCAAGGATTTTGTGTGGTAAAGTATCCAAGGTTTCGGAATTTCAATGAATTAAATCACAATACGTACATTTCCGACATCTGACTTTTTCCTGGATCTTAAACGAAAATATTTTACTTTTTGGTATGTGAATCATTACCTACTACACTGTGATTGAAGAGAAGATATATACAATAAATTACCGGAATCAAAACATATTTATAACTCGTATAAATATTGGAGACACATGAAAATAATTGGAGACACATGAAATGCAAAAAATGAGAATTGCTAGCCTTGAAAGCTCTTATGCACAAGATGTTACCTTTAAAATTATTCTTATTGCTATCAGTGTGAAGATAATTTTGTTATTTTCCGACAAAACAAGATTTTAAACTTTATCGTTAAGAATAATGTCAAATCGCTTTATAAAGTTAAAAACGATCAAATTGAGAATATCCGGAAATTAAAGTGGATAATCTTTTCGTTGTAGCATTAATTTTTGTAAATCTACGTTTTCTTAGAAATCCGCATATATATTATGGATCAATATCTTCTTTCTTTCTGGCGAATAATTATTGTCACGGTTTACGAGCAGCATCAATTGTGCACGCATGTAATTTTGACTTTCGATGTCCCGTTAACCCCGAACGTTATCGAAACGTATGCAATCACCGAAGCTTGAAAGCGGTCATCGCGCGAGCCCCGGTCGTTTCATCGTGATAACGGTTTTATAAATTATCCTTTTGCACTTCCGTGATATTCGAGAGATCGATTAACCGCGCAATCTATCATTTGGCTAAAAAAAATATTCTAGTCATTATTTTATCTCAAATTAGATCGATATGCGGATAGGTCAAAATGAGAAGTAAAGCCACGTCTTGATATTTTGAAATATTGCAATAGCTGCACCAGACATTTTTATGTAAACATACCGGGTAAATATCAAGCAATGCTCGCGCATTCTGATAAATTTTGTTGAAAAATAATCAAAACTTTATTTGAAACAGTGTATCAAAATTTAATTTCGTATTAAGAGAACAGGTTTTCTTTTATTGTTTAAATAAATTTATTGTATTATTTGTTTAGCATTAATATTTTTTTATACAAAAAAAACAAAATCTATGTATATTTTCTTCATTTATAGATTTTTATCTTTAATCACAGTATGTAAATTAACATCACCAACATTATAATATAATTAATCCTATAGGTGTAAATCACGCAATCAAACGTCGTCATATCAACAATTTTCATACCTTAGCTGTAACTTTTTTTTTATTTTGTAAATAATAATAACAATGGTATTATATCAGAATTATATTCTATAAAAAAATTAAAATATTTTAAATAAAATGTTTTGTCTTTAATTACATGTATAATACTTACATGTATAACTCTTATTTTCTTTGATCTCGGTGTTTATAATATCTCGTTTCTTCTTTATTAAATTTCGACGTTTTGCTGTATTTAAACACGAATATATTTTTAAAAGAGTTCAAAAACGATTTCTATCGAATTTTGTTAGTATTATTTTGTATCTTGTATTTAGTATTGTATTTGTATTTAGTATTTATTAGTATTTTGATTTTGATAAAAATCAAGTATAAACGCGTACGCCAATCTTAATCATACATCTATTTAAACAATAATTAACATTATTTATTCTTATAAAATTTCTTAACTTAAATAAATGTAATTTACTCTCGTATCTTTACTTTATCTCAATTAAGATTATTGATAATTTATATTTTTCTTAAATTAAATTTATTATGAAGTTTTTAAATTAAGGTTTATTGTTGCGTCATTGTGATTGATGTATCATTGATTGTGTTAAAAAAAAGTTGATAGATTTAAAACCGACTGTTTCGCAGCAAACAAGTGCGCAAATATTGTTTTTTATAAAATGTTTATTAAAAGAGAACAAAACGTAATATTTTTTTGTTTTATAAAAAAATCACAAAATCAGTCACAATCTGTATGCGCGATTCAATAAGCAAAAAGTTCAATTCTTTCGTATTCCTTGACACACTTTTTTGATACAAGAAGAATAATTAGTTTATGATAAAAGTAAAAAAAAGATTGAATACGATCAATTGACCTCAAGTAGAAAAACACGCATTTTATGTTTTTTATCTGCAGTTTTTAACAAAAACTGTAAAGTTTGCGTTTACGTTAGATATCAAATGGTCATGGCCTCTTGTGATGATACTATTATATGAGTGATCATATATATGCTTACACGCGCAGGATTGCCGAGCACGTTGACATGCACGTGTTGATTCACATTCATGACGTCAAAACGTTATTTTAAAAAAGGACGCGCAAATATTACAAAATATCATGCTACTTTGTTCTTACGTCACAATCAGCAATTTAATAAATTAGTACAAAAGTCTCATGCGTATTTCATGCGTATTTCATTGCGCAGGACATGTCAAGATCAAGTTTTGGTAATCATATGCAAAACAAATTTTTTCATAGAAATAAAAAAAAAAAACAATAACTGATAGTTCA